GTTCTGATTATGATCTAAACTATTATTTCTAATCTACTAATGAGTTCAGTTAACTCAGTTCCAGACTCCCAACAGCGGTAGCTCTGTGCAGGACAAAGAACCTGTATTCTTTGGTGGGAACAAGGACAAATGTAACCACACAAACTAATTCCAGCCTCCATTGCCATTTGACTCAATGATATATTGCTTTTGTTCCTTAAGGATTAGCTTCCCAGAAGCTGAAGAGACCTTCTTTGTGTATTTATCTTTAAATGCTTTAGTGCAGATTTAGACTACAGAGCGCTGGTCATGCTCTTTAAAATGTGATTATCTTTGCAGTTTGCCATGCAAAAGAGTTTACTACGAAAGTACCAGTGGCGACCACAGTCACTCTCTGTCACACCATACATATCTTAATTTACAAATTGTTTTTAATAGGGAAGTGTCAAAATTTAAAACAGCACTATACATAATATTTCCCAACTAAGAAATGGAGGTTTGGCCTATGTTTTTAGCATAAACTTAATGCAAAGACCACTAGGTTCAAAAAATACATCACTCTGCATCTGAATTTCATGGAGACTGCATTAGTCGAAGGAAGATAAATTAAAAACAAAAATCAAACACTATAAAGCGAAACGAAGAATAAGGGGTATGAAATGAAAAACATTAAAAATAAGAGAATCAAAGTTGAAAAGTAGGTTTCATTAAAGTAATTTCATTTTTAACCATTACTTATACCATAAGCAACATAGGCCAGAAAATTTGTTTTATATGTCTACATACACATACTTCAGAAATATAGCTACAGGTATGAAAAGGTATAGATAAACCATATGCTTAAAGCACATTTATATAAGGAATGCTACCAAAATTTGGTAGGTTTACAAACTCTGAGATTGCACTGGACAACAGAAGTGTATCATCAATTAGAGTGAACCAAGATACTTGTCTCAGGTATTTCCTTTCTGACTCAGTACAATGAAAAATCAGATTATTCTGCAAAATATTAGATGTAACAAATAAATAAGATTAAAGATTGTTGTGCATCAAGCTAGGGAAGTGCAAAAGCTTTATCCATATAATGAAGTAGAACTTTTGAAAATAGTCACCATTATGAGGTCATAATGCCCCTAGGATTAAGAAAATAGCCTGAGGACCATGAAAACCTTCCAAACAACTATAAAATTACATATTATTGTCATTCAGGCAGTTTAATAATCCTGCTGTCAAGTCTTATGAGGGTAATTAGCTTATGTAAAGATTTGCTTACAGCAAAAATAAAGTACCTATTGCTGCCAAGGCCTATGTATTTTCAGGTGTACCAGTTTTCTCTGTGTATGAAACGCCTGTTACTTGTCTTGATGCTCCCCCACAGAGCCACAAAGACTGGATTCTTCATCGAAATGATACTATTCATTTCCACAGAGGCTGCCTCAGTTCAGAAACTCAGTAAATCTCACATCATTTTCATTGCCCTGGTGTTACTACTCAGAAAGAGCTATGGATACTATATCCATTTAACCACAGTGTTTGGGAGGTGTATGGAAGGAATAACATGTGGCTTATGCCCTTGTCCCCTATGCAGCTTTAATAATTAATAGCCTCCCAGCGTTATTAACACAAAACACATGCTTACACTCTCACCACTGGTGGTGACACAGTATCCCATAATACGAAGGAAAGAGGACTGCGATCTTCCAAAGGTTCCTGAGCACGTGAGATGTGTCAACAAGATTTACATTTAGAACAATTGCTGAAAAATGAAATTTTATGGCCTCTATTGTGGTAATATGCGCCCAGAGAGAAGTTTTTTGATCACTTCTTATATGTGTCCCTAAAGGTCTGTATCAATTTAATTAAAAAAATGACTATAAATCAATACAAATCCACAAATCAACTCTTGATTCAATGTACAAGAAGCTTGATTAACTTAAGTCAGCCAGCAAAACTGATAATAAATATAGCCACAGTGGCATATTAACTACCAGTATTTAAAAATATTTAATTTAAATTCATTCCTTTTTCTAGCAAAGCCCAGGTCTCCTGAAAGTCACACAAGATGGTTTGCCCAAGTCTGCTCAGTTAAGTTTAATTTAACTGAATCTGTAAACATCTTCATAACACGTGAGCCCTCTTGAAGTCACTGAGGTCCCTAATGCTTTTCTAGTTGTATATTTAACTAGGGATCACTAGCAACACTTTTGAAAGCATCCCTAAGGACTATATTGTGGCTCAAGAAAGTCTTCCCTGTTACCACAGTTTTGTCAGATTTTACAGAATTGGACATGCATGCCCTCTAAGAGCAGGACACCAGTACAAGTGATCCTGCCAAGCTAGTCTGTAATATAATCTCTGAAGAATGGACCATTGGTACCAGCTTCATTTGTTATTGTCTTCATTTTTCTGTTTTCGAATGGGTAGGCTTTCTATTGCCCAATAGTAGACGCTCCAAATTCCCAGCTGGCAAGGTTTGGTGTGTGAATCACACACATTAAAGGAAAAGAAACAGGAAAAGTTAGAGCAGTACTTTAAGCACCATATCAAATATGTAGACTTGCAAGGGGCAGGTGGGAGGAGACAGAGAGAGACAGTTAGCTCCATGAAATAATCAGTACCATGGCAGACGTCTTAAACATGGTACAGAACTGAGACATACACGCATGCTCCAGCAATATTGAAGAAGTTTTGGCAGGCATCTTTACGAGACCACTCTGCTTAGAAAAAACTTTAAGAGACCAAAACACTGAAATAAAAATTGTAAATTAGCTAGTTAACTTCAATATAGTACATATCTTAAAATTCTTTCAAGAAGCCAAATACTTAATTTAATGGGAGCCAACCCCCACTAAAGATGATTGCCAGTAATACTGCCAGTAACAATAATCATAAACAAAGCATCAAACATTATAAAATAAATCACAGCTTTTCATGAATTTATGTATTTATGGGCCAGATTATAACATTCTGACTCATCTCCATGAGCATTTCATTCCAAAACAGCCCTTTTTTTTCAGTGATACAGTCCTCAGCAGGATTATCGGTATGTGGCCTGTTGGGGAAAGAAAACCCGTCCTTCTGAAAATTCTTATGACTTTATACTGTGGACATTTGACAAGTGAGAGAGATGAGAACTAGGTAAACTCTCCAGGCAAAGGTTACATCTGACCTTTGGAATCTTACTTGCTTTAACCTTGTCACTACGAGACCTAAGAGCCACATACAATTCTTCTGATGTGCAGAGACCTTCAGCTCATGCCAGTTACAACTGTAGGCAAAACCCACAAATTTCTAAAATGTGATTCCCAGAATCCTTTCCTCTCCCCCCAGCCCTGACTTACCTGGTTTCATCAATATAAACTGCCTCCAGCACAGATGCTGCATATTCAATGTTCTTTTTTAAATCCACTACATTAATGTCACCCTTCTCCAGCTGCTTTACCAAGCATCTTAATCTGTGAGAAAGAAAATAAATATATCAGTGCATTGCTTATATCAAATTTTAGTGATTGTATTTTCCATTTGAAATATTGGAATCAACACAATAGCCAAAGTAGAGGAAGAGATGGTCATTGCATCTCTTGTCTGGTTTTAAAACATCTGGGTTTAGAACACACATAACAATAATCAGTTGTATGGTTTTTACAGCTTGCTAAATTTGAACGATCTATTAAGAAAAGGCATATACGTTCCAGGAAGTCAGAGAGGACTCAGTAACTACCATCACAGTGATTTCCTGTTAATTTCTGACATTATTATTATGCAGGAGTCTCTAAATTTGTTTAAATAAAAAAATAAAACTTTGCAAGTTGTCTTACTGTAATTTTTCTGTGCTTAGAGGGTTGATTATACTTTTTTAATATCCACTATATAACGATTTTGCTTCATTTAATCATATTTCATTTTTATTTAAGCCTCTAGTATGTTTTTGCTGCAGAATTTCCATTTCTTATTAGCGTGAGTGAATGTGGAGCTCCATTGTTTCTGCTTACAGAAAATTCGTCATTATACTAGACAAAAGGTGGTGTCTATGGCATTAGAAAAATCCCAATATTTTCCCAAGTGTGCTTTTACTTTTAGTTTTGAGAACGCTCTTTTACATTACAAACACAGATATGCCCAAAGGAGATTTTGTAACGCATCAACTCATGCCTCTGTGGCAATACACTTATACAGATAAACTCATGGAATATCAGATTTTTCCTAAACTCTCTGATGAGAACAAAACTTCTGACACTGCTCAGCTTAACCACACAGAGTAGTCACAGCACTGAAGTGAAATGAAAACCTTATCAGTAACTGTGTAGAGCTGTGACTAAACGGATGCTTAAAGAAGTATGGGTGTTTTCCTTCTTTTTGTGCTATATCTCCGAGTTCAAATAATCTACAGTGTCATACCATGTAAGATAAAGATTTCTGCACTTAAAGATCATTGTTTTAACATAACTTTCACGAAATAATCTTTTTTCTGTGTAAGAAATGTGAAAAAATTGTGTGAAACAAGCATTTAGTTAAAAAGTGGATTGAAATTGAGTCAGCACTAAGATAACTTTACTTGCAGAAAAAAATCATATTTATTATGTGAAAGAGCACATATAAAATATGTTACATAATAATATTTTATATATACTATATATTATTTTTATTGGGCATACACAATATTTGATTGGACTTAATTAAAATGTATTAATTAAAAAAAATGCAGTGATAGTCAAAACAAATCCCTCATAAACTTGGAATGTACTGTTCCATCATAAAACCACTTTCATGGATTTTCTTTGTATTTATTTGTACCTAAGAATAATTATGTCCAAGTTTGCAAGGATAATTTTAGCAAATGGAGGTTTAAGACCAGCGTCCTCAGATCTCCAAAGTCTTAATTCATTTCAGATTAGCGTAGAACATAACACAAACAATGCTTTTAACAACCGTATTCACTTGGTATTTTACATGGTGCATTACATCTCAACGGAATGGAAAAGTTAAAAATTTTTCTCAGATAAATGAAGTGGGTGGATGAAATACTGTGGGAGTGCATCTTCTACACATAAATAACCTTACACATGGAGAGGCAGTTCCAGTACGTAACTCCTTCCACTTCAGAGGTACCTATAGATTGAAGAAGCTAATTCATAAATAGACACTCACCTTGCAGTACACAACACATGCCCTGTAACTCTCCTGGGATGTCTGCTCCTCAGTAATGCACACAAACACACATACAATCCCTCCTGCACACCAATTCCAAAATGCCCACCTGAGACTGGCAGCACCATCACCACTATAGCCAATAGCCATAGGGTGGTTTTAACACTTGCAGTGTTCCTCCATGTTTGATGAAGCATGTCTCCAAAACACACTTTCCAAAGTGGAAGCACGAATGAATTTAAAAATGCAACATTTCGCAGTGAGGGACCAGGCCACGGTAGAACAATCACAAAAGGACAAAATCCATACAATTCAATGATGACCAGTGACCTTGTCATCTCATGCATCCATGTTTTGTTGAGATGTCTGTAGCCAATCCAGTGCAGATCTGTCTTAGAATCACAGGATGACTTTGGTTGGAAGTGACCTCCACCTGGCCCGGGCTCTTGCTCAAAGGAGGGCCAACCTCAAAGTTAGGTATCACTTCAAAGTTAGATCAAACTTCTCAGAGGCATTTCCACTGAGTTTTGAATGCATGGAGATTTCACAAACTCTTTAGGCAACTAGTTTCAACGTTTAATCTGCCTGATGGTGGATTATTTTTCCCAATATCTAACTGGAATGCCCTTTCTGGTAACTTGTGCCAAGTGGCTCCCAATCTCTGCTGTGCACTTCCTAGAAAAATCTGGCTCTATCTACAGTGCAACTTCCCACTGGGAAGCTGGACACAGCAATAAAATCCCTCCATAGTGTTGCTGATCAGACACTTGTCAGGTCATAATCATCAGTTCTACCCCAAAAGTTAGAAGAATAGACCTCCAATGCAGCAAAATTTAGTGTGTTATAACAGCATATGAATGGTCTGTGTATACGCAACGTATTCTGCATTAAAGCGAAATAGCCAGAGTTTAAGAGCTGTCATTTCAGTAATAAAACTAACATTTTAGTAAAGAATAAATATGTCAATTTATAAGACAACCAACATAGCCCAGCATTCCGGAAGACAAAGAAAATTGTAGAAAGGACAAGCAAAAGTAACAAAAAAAGAATTATTACTCCATCTATATTAAGCAGGATTTTTGTTTGTTTGTTTGTTTTCTTTTAATTAAGTGTGATAAATTGAAAACAAACATGAGAAATACCATTAGAAAACCTGAAGTGCTACTTAAAATTGGAGCTGATTGTATTATCCTGCCTGTGAACTGTGCTACTAAGAAATAATAGACAGCAACAAGAAAAAACTGGAGGGGTTATTTTGTGAAATAGAAAAAATGAACTGTTTGAACTGTTTTAAGGTGCAAAGAAAATTGTATGAAGAGTTAAATATGATACAACATGAAAGAAAGATTTATAGAGAAAAAGAAACATTGTTTCTCTTAGGACAACTGAAAACTGCATTTTAAAACTAGCAGCTCTGGTCTGTAAGGGAGAAAAAGACATCTGCAATTAATAAAGGGAGTGGGTGGAGAACCATCTTCTGTCATACTGGGTATACATCATTAACAGAGCTCTCGTATGAAATGCTTTTAGGGACAATCCAAACGCGCTCTGTTCTTACCTATCTTTACCAGCGCTGTCTGAAAGGTTACCAGGACCAGCATTTCCCCAGTCCTCACTCACCGTGCAGCTGACGCCTATGTCCAACTGTGGGCAATAAGCTCTGAGGCCCACCCAGCAACACAGGCAAATGAGGAGAAAATCAGGATTTTACTAGGAGCTGAAGTAGCACGTTCTTGATTACCAATATCAAAATCACAACTCAGTTGTTCCCTCCTTCCTCATTAAAATTCACCCATGTTTGAATTAAAGTTTAAATCTACTGTAACTTTCAGGGATTGTACCAAATTAACTGAGGATAGATTTTAGGTTATTGAGAAGGCTTCCTACAACAGTTTCAGTAACTATAGAATTTTCCAATCGAAACTAAATTACCAGTGATTGCTGAGAATAAATGAGACTTAAAGGTCCAGTTTAACAGTCTTCAAGAACCAGAAGAGGAAAAGTCAGCCTGAGGTTAACTTCTGAACCTTAGAAAAAGACTCAGTGTCAGCTTTCCCAATGACTGCCTTTATCAGCCATCTGTGTCTCCCCACCATCAAGCACTGCAAAGAAACAGCTTTCTAACTTACACATCTGGACTTCACTTAAAACTGTTTTGGAAACTTTGTACAAAAAAAGTTGGCTTTTGCCACAGATCCTATTAAAGGGGAAGTGAAATAAACAATAAAAAGTAAAATGTAAACTAACCCTGTATCCTACTATATTTTGAAATTAATGGAAGTCACTGTTGCAGACGGGCAACTAACACATTGGTAATTCTTTGAAAATAATAAACACATGCTAATGTTCATTACAGCTAAATAGTTATTCATATTAATATTCAATAATCACAATACCAGTTTAAAAATTATCTGTGTTGGTTAAGTCAACCCCAATTACAAGTTGTAAATCATTATGTTCCCATGAACTAGTTGAGAAAATCCTAGCTGTGTGCCAAATGTATTAATTCCTTGGAAAGATTATGAGCAAATACTGACAGTGTGCTAAAAAGTTTAAGGACAGAACAAATTATTATTTTCTGTAAACAATTGCTTCATGTTTTGTTTGGACTATATAATGTTAATTTTCTTATTCAAGTGGATAATTATAATCTTTATCATACAGTGATTTGACCATCTAAATGAACATTAAAAACTAAAAATGGGCTGACATGTAATGTAAAATTAAAAGTAAAGAGGAGGTGAATAACCATATTCTGACAATATGGGTAGCTACAGTTTAAACATTCTAGTTTTTAAAAATTTTGGGGAAGTGGAAAATTATCTCTAAGACTATTTAGAATTAAAACTGGAAACCTGTTTTGCTACCTGTACTGATTCTTGCAATAATCAGCTTAATAGTTTTCACAGCCTGTACAAAGCATTGCTCACCCAGCAGTTCCTCAGCTTTCAAAGGCAGAAGTCACATCCTCACTCAAACATGAACACTCTGAAAAAGGTCCAATATCCAACAACTCCAAATCATTAAGAATAGAAAGTTCAGCTCATCTATTTTAAACAGCCTAATGCCAGAATCCAGTTGTTTTACGTACCTACACATTTGAGATTCAGAAAAATATTTTAACTAGGAGAAATACAAAACGGGAATGGCAAAACTTCGTCTTGGAAAAGTCACAACAAATAAAACATATCACTATTTCACTTGAATTCTAAAATTCCCTACAAAAGTTGCCCAAATTCCAATTATTTTTTGTGTGGATTGGTATCATTTGAATTTTACACTTTTCTATTAAGAACATGCATCTGTA